CCGCACATCAGCCAGGTTCAGCCACAGGTTTCGCTCCTGGACCACATTGGTGGACATCACCTGACCCAGGGAGCGTGCGGCCATTTTCGTCGCTCGGAGAGTAAGGTCAGTGGCGGCGCGCAGCTCATTAAAGAGCCCTGGGTCAGTCCTGCCCTCGTGCATGTCGCTGAGCATCTGGGCCTGGTAAACCAGCAGAATGGCCAAGGCATGCAGTGAGGCGGCTACCTATCCTGCGGCTCTATAGGATTTCGCCACAAGCGTAGACGAAAAACTACAGGCTTCGGACGGGTGCTTAGGGTCGCGCCGAGAAGAAGCACTCTGAGGACACAGTAGCACTGAGCAACAGAGCGTTCAACCGGGGGAACCCCAGTGTACCCATGGGCAGCGGCCCCGTCAAGGGGGGGAAAGGCGGAGATCAACGAGGGATCGTGGAAAGACATGGAGGTCTTCCAGGATTTCAAGATCTCCTCATGCACATCCGGGAAGAAAGGTATTGGGGTTGGACGCTGACGAGGGTCAGCAGGCGCACCCAAAAACCAATTGTCCAACCGCGAGCGCTTGGAACAGGGTGGAGGGTTTCCACTCTAAACCGATGCCCGTGGCTGCCCAGGAAAGCATGGCCGTCATCTCAGGATCTGACTCGACAAATGCCATTTGCACACCCGAAGGTGGCAGCACTGTCGAATCTTCACTTCCTAAAGATTCTAGCCCGCCCTGTGATGCTGCGATGGACATCAGATCCGATTCTGGAGCGTCAAGGGAAACCAGGGAAGTCAGAAATGGCTGTGGAGTGAAGAGAAACTCTTGGCTCTGAAGCGAAAACATATCTGGATGTTGCCGGCGTTCTCCTTTATACCCACGAGGTGGGGCTGAGTTGCGTCATGCAAATTCCGCAGACCCATGGCATTTCTTTGCCATTGGCTCGTTTTTTAATACTCGAAAGGGAGTACGAAAGGGAACTGCTGTGATCTTTGTAACTGTAAGCGGGGCGGTCTACAAACTCCTGTGTGAGTCTTGAAGCTGAACTTCTGCTGATGAAACTGCAAACTATCTTCAGGAAAAGTTTTCTTTTTTTTATTTATGTTTTATTTAAATTAACAGAGATGTTTTTAGTAGTTTTAGTTACAGTTTTTTTAGATTGCTAAACGACAATGAGCACAACTGGAGCTACATGTGCAAAACTCTAACTACAGTCTGCACTACCAACAGTCACCTGAGCTAAACAGTTCACATCACCTGCAAAACTCATTCCAAGCAACACAACTCTTAACACATGGCTCAAAACAGGCTCAGTGCAGCCAAACAATACACAACCCTCACTGAGATAACACACACTGTCACTCAGAACACACTGAGAGTAAAAACACTAGCATCAAACACCAATACAGAAAATAGAAACTTTTCATCTTTACAGTTTGAACAATTTCAGTACAAAGTAATACTGGACTTCATACAAAGTAATATTTTCTTCAAAGAAAAGAGTGACATTCTTTCACATGATTTATTTAAAGCTGCAGTCCGTAGCTTTTTTTGGATTAAAAATAATCCAAAATACATATTTGAGAAAATACATAACCAGCCAGTGTTCAAAACTATCTGCTTGCCTTAGCTCGATTCAAAGCGGTAAGCTTTTAATAATGTTTTTAATTCCAGTGGTACTGGTGGACTTCCGCGGGAGATTCGAGCATGTCTTTGAGTCATTACGTCACATCTGTACACACACACATCTGTACACACACATCTGCACACACACATCTGTACACATAAAGAAGAGTCTCGGCTAGTAAGCTATATTGAGTCATTACGTCACATCTGTACACATAAAGAAGGAGTCTCGGCTAGTATAAGCTATATTGCGTGTGAGGATGTTGGAGGTGGAGATTTATAGCCTTTTCTCACAGCACTTGATATAATTAAACTTATTACAGTTTTTTTCGATCGCTAAACGACAGTGAGCACAACTGGAGCTACATGTGCAAAACTCTAACTACAGTATGCACTACCAACAGTCCCCTGAGCTAAACAGTTCACATCACCTGCAAAACTCACTCAAAGCAACACAACTCTTAACACATGGCTCAAAACAGGCTCAGTGCAGCCAAACACTATGCACAACCCTCACTGAGATAACACACACTGTCACTCAGAACACACCGAGAGTAAAAACACTAGCATCAAACACCAATACAGAAAATACTAACTTTTCATCTTTACAGTTTGAACAATTTCAGTGACTTCATAGAAAGTAATATTTTCTTCAATGAATAGATTGACATTCTTTCACATGATTTATTTACGTTTTTAGAACATAACAATTCTTTAAGGTAAATGAAAATTAGCAGTTTGCTTCAATAGTCTGTAGTACTGTAATTTACTAAATTACAGTAATGAGAAAAAAGGTAGAAACTAAAAGTACATACTGTAATTCTAACAAATAATTGAGGGGCTAATCCTGCCTCTCTCCAGCATCAGGCCACAGGTTTTCGTCAACATCACATCTAATGTTCTCTCTTGCCATGCACCTGAGGAAGAACCTTCTGGAGTGCCTTATCCATCCCTGGCAGTCCTCTGGACTCATGGCCTCACACCCGGCACGCATGGCTTCCAAAAGAGACATTTGGTCATGTGGGTGGTGATCAAACACTTTCCACCTCCAGGCAGAGAAAAACTCCTCTATTGGGTTGACGAAGGGTGAATATGCAGGCAGGTACAAAATCATAAATCTGCGATGTGCTGCAAACCAATCTGTGACAGCTGCAGAGTGGTGAAAAGCAACGTTATCGCAAACTATGACAAACACATGGGGGTTTCTTACTGGCTCCCCTTGTTCTGCTGGCACTAGCTGAGCATAGAGCTCTTCTAGGAAAGCTATAAGCCTTTCTGTGTTGTATGAGCCAATGAGTGGTGTGTTGAGAAGCAAACCATCATTGGCCATTGCAGCACACATGGTGATATCCCCCCCCCCCCCCCCCCCCCCCCCCCCCCCTTTGGCCTGGAACCTCCACAGTGGCCCTTTGACCTATAACATTCCTTCCTCTATATATGTGTAAATATTCTATAATTGCAATACAAAACAATTTCCTGTAATGTTTTTATTTATTTTAAGGATGTAACTCTCACCTGTTTGTACGATGGAAAATTCGCATTACAGATGCCACTGTGGATCTTTGCAGATTGGGTTGCACCCTCAACCCTGCCTCTCTCAATGAGAGACCATGGTTCACGACATGGTCTATAAGTGTAGCCCTTATTTAATCTGAAATAACAGCTCTTTGTCTTCTTTGTCTCCCTCCATGAACCCACCCTCTCCCTGCCACCCTTCAATATATATATATATATATATATATATATATATATATATTTGTGTGTGTTCACTAACAAGTCTAAAACAAGACACCTGCTTAGCCTTTCAGCTGAAATTGCACTCAGCAGTGTTTGAAAGGCACAAAGCTGAGTCTATTCTGTTTTGAATGTATGGTTCACAGTTTTGACAGCAGTGTATTAGCATTTGAACAAAGTTCTGTAAATCCACAGTGTTGGCAGGTTGTGGTTAAAGTCATGGGATAAGTGTGTAGAGTTTTGAAAACTGTGTTCAAGCACTGAAAAACGAACTAGAGTTTGGTCCACATGAACTGCTGCTGTGCAGACTGTAGTTAGAGTTTTGCACATGTAGCTCCAGTTGTGCTCACTGGCGTTTAGCGATCGAAAAAAACTGTAATTTGATGGCGGATCCAGAAAGGTTCAAACGACAATTACCAGTGACAACAGATTCACCCGCTGTAAAATGCTAAAGACTTCGTTCGGACTTCGGAGTGGCTACAGAAAAAAGAGACTGCAACCGGACCCATGCAAAAACAAGGATACATATCGGAAGGACATTACATGTAGTCACGCAATGCTTCCTTACGTTGTTAACATTAACAATTTGAGAACAAAGTATACTTTGCACGGTTTTGCGTGATATGATAACTTATAAGAGATTGTTAGATTTACAGTAATCAGCGCGATTTACTGCAATGTCAGAACCAGAACAAAAGTGGATGTTTCTTTCTAGTTCAGATGACATTTTCCGGTGAAAATTCTTATGTTGGTCATATTTCAAAAAAGAATAATCTGTGATTCTGAATGCCAGTATCCACACCGGCGGTGACTGACAGCCTGACTCTTTCCTCAAACACTGTGTTCATCCGCGCTGTTCCGTGTCGAGGGTGTTGATGTACAACTCACGTAAAGTTGATAATTCCGCGAATGACTGCAATTGCAGATTTCGAACAGAGATGGCGACAAAGAGGAAAAACGCCGGACTGCAGCTTTACATTTTTAGAACATAACAATGAAAATTAGCAGTTTGCTTCAATAGTCTGTAGTAATTTATGGAATTACAGTAATGAGAAAAAAAACGTAGAAACTAAAAGTACATACTGTAATTCGAACAAATAATTGAGCCTTTCAGCTGAAATTGCAATCAGCAGTGTTTGAAAGGCACAAGGCTGAAATCTATTCTGTTCTGAATGTGTGGTTCACAGTTTTGACAGCAGTGTGTTAGCATTTGAATGAAGTGCTGTAAATCCACAGTGTTGTGCAGGTTGTGGTTAAAGTCATGGGATAAGTGTGTAGAGTTTTGAAAACTGTGTTCAAGCAATAAAAAACGAACTAGAGTTTGGTCCACATGAACTGCTGATGTGCAGACTGGAGTTAGAGTTTTGCACATGTAGCTCCAGTTGTGCTCACTGTCGTTTAGCAATCGAAAAAAACTAGAACAATATTAACCCTGACTGAAGCTCAAGATGCTCTTTGAATCATCTCAGATCATGTTGGAGAACATGATCAGGTTTTAATTCGCCCAAAAATGAAAACTCTGGTATGATTCACTCACCCTCATGTCATTCCATGTCGATGTTTTGATAGAATAGAATAGAAAAGTATTTAAATTTCCCTAGTGGTATCATACGCTTGGACTCCTGCTGTATAACTTCTCTCTGTCCCTCTGATATTCTTACCGAGCAGTTGATCCACACTGTTCATCCAGCTGAAAATGTAGAGTGTGTGGTTCTCCTCTGCGCTAAGATCGGCGATGTTGGGCGGGCTATCAGACTCCTGCAGCACCCGGCTTGGCAAGGGAGCCATGAGCTTCTCTGACCTCTCAATGCTGGCGTGGAAATGAGCAGCGGATACATATGCTGCCGAGCGGAGCCAGCTCAGTCCAAACCGAACCTCGGGAGTGGAGTACAGCTTCTGCCTACAGCAATGAGAAAAGAAGTCCTTAAAACAGGTTTCGTTAAAGCAACACCAAGTAACTTTTCCTCCCTACAGGTTGGGAGTGGAATTGTCCATTACCGCTGTGGTAAATAATTTAGCCTACCGCATCCTACTGTCGCACGCACGCACGCTTGTTGTTTATCCAGCATCGGCTTTGGAATGAACGATGTCCACAGACAAGCTAGAGTATGTTGCATGATTTCATGAAAGTATGATGTATTGCGACATCAGAAACGAAGAAAAACTAAATAATGACTATTGTAACGCTTGACGTAAAGCAAGTCAAATTTGTAGTTTTCTTATGTCTCATTAGAACTACAGAAACGCGACCCGATCTGGCAATCTTACATAGCGTGGTTATAGCAGATATAGGACCGCAAAGCGGAGGCAGAAGTGCCTTTCACCCTGTTACGACTTAATGAACCACTGAAACGATTTTGGAAACATTATTTTAAGGTAAAAAATCTTACTTAGTGTTGCTTTAAACCAGAAGGCCCCTGCCAAACTAAAGCTGGAAGAGTATCAACACATATTTGCTTTAGGGAAATGGCATGATGTCATGTGCAGACGTTTGAATGTGTTATGAAGCTTATATGGACCTTTCACTGCAGGCAGCGGATGCAGTCAGTAGAGACGACTCCTCTGCTGCCCACATCAGTCCCAGAATCTTATCCTTCTTGTAAAAATCTGTGTCCTCAGATTCACTGATCTGCTGCAGAGACTACAGAGGAACACAGAAGAGAGCAACGGTTAGTGCTTGAGCTTAACAGATCTAATGTGCCTGATCTGGTGTTACCTGCACAAGTCTCAACAACCTTTCGTTCGAAGACCTTAACATGGGGATAGTCACAAATTAGCTTACTTCCAGTTACTTTAAATGTTTTTTCATTTGTTGTCATAACGATGTGGTCACAGACGTTTGGCCCCCACTACGTATAGATGCGGTGCTTCTTGAACTACAAATATCCTATGTGTGCATGTGTGATAATTGCTGTTACTCCTTGACATTGTATTGTGTTTTGTTGGTGTTGTGTGTTACGGTTGCAGTCGTCATGTACAGTGTCATTGAGTTAGTCTCTTCTGCTTATATTCTCAATACATTTTGACCCATACAATGTATTGTTGGCTATTGCCACAAATATACCCGTGCTACTTGTGACTGGTTTTGTGATCAAGGGTCACATTTGTGAATCACTTTGGAAAAAAGCATATGCTGAATGCTTGAATGTGAATATTTATGTGCATCCAGAGAGAAAGTGACATGAGCCGAACAATGACACCTGGAAAAATGTTTGCCATTTGGACATGGCATCCGGGTGTTTGGTGGAACAGTCTGTGTAGCTGGAGCAGTAATCGTGAGCCACCTCCGCTGGAACCTGAACGTGTATCTGGACCTCACCCTTCCCAACCACACCTGTCTGAACCGCGGCCAGGAATGGAAGCACAGACATATAGTAGTTCATACCTGGAGAGAGTGGAGGGAACAAAATGAGAAAATACAGGACAGGATTTAGAAAAGGTAGCTTTGACTTTATCTCCATCTAGTGGTGCAAATGTAGAGCTGCACTTACATGCATACCAGCTCTGAGGAGAGATGCAAACCGGGTCTGAACTTTCCAATCCACAAGTGCTAGCACTGCCAGGGCTTGGGTCAGTCAACCGGCCTACGATGTAAAGTGAAACTTTAGTGACAACCAAAGTTAAATTAGTGTGCTAACATACTGTACTGAGCTAAATTTCCAGACTCATATACATTTCCTCAGCACAAGTACATACACTATATGGACAAAAGTATTGGGACACCTGACCATTACACCGACAGGGACTTTAATGACATCACATTCTTAATACGTAGACATTAATATGGAGTTGGTGCCCCCTTTGCAACTATAACAGCTTCTAGGAAGGATTTCCACAAGATTTTGGAGTGTTTTTGTGAGAATGTTTGATTATTCATCCAGTCGAGCCTTTGTGAGTTCAGGCACTGATGTTGGATGAGAAGGCCTCGCTTGCAATCTCCGTTCTAGTTCAATTCTCTTAAGTTTAATAAACATATTAGCTCTGTGATTGGTTCTAGTTTCTTTCATCTCCGCTTGCTTGCTAAAATTAAGCCGTTTCTTTGTTGCAATCAATGCTTTAGTCTGGAATATTGCAACTCCATCTACCATGGTATATCTAAGTCTCAAATTTCTTGTTTACAAGTGGTTCAAAATGCAGCTGCACGCTTTCTGAAAGTATGTAAAAAATTTACAGGTGAAACTCGAAAAAATAGAATAGGGTGCAAAAGTTCATTTATTTCAGTAATTCAACTTAAAAGGTGAAACTAATATATTATATAGACTCACTACATGCAAAGTGAGATATTTCAAGCCTTTATTTGTTATAATTTTGATGATTGTGGCTTACAGATTTTCACAATATTCTATTTTTTTTTCTAAAAGTTCTTCTAAAAACCTTTTCACATTATTCTAATTTTGAATTTGGGGTTTTCATAAGCTGTAAGCTATAATCATCAAAATTATAACAAATAAAGGCTTGAAATATCTCACATCATGTAATGAGTCTATATAATATATTAGTTTCACCTTTTAGGTTGAATTACTGAAATAAATGAAGTTTTGCATGATTCGAGTTTCTAATTTTTCGAGCGTCACCTGTACGTACGTCATTTGGCTTCTGAAAGATAAACATTGGTTGCCAGTTAATTGTAGAATTGAGTTTAAAATCATATTACTTGTCTATAAACCTTTACATAATCAAACAAAGCCTAAGGTCTGAAATCAAAACTTACTACATATTCCAAGAAGTCGCTTAAAGTGTCGGGGTGATGGAGGTTTTTCTGTGGCTGGTCCCACTTTATGGAACAGCCTTCCAAACTACATTATTACTTTATCTGCATTCAAATCTAGTCTTAAAACATATCTCTTTTAGTTGGCTTTTAAAGGGTGACTAAACACTAAACCAACTTTTTTTAAATAATGATCTGTAAGACTGGGGCTTTATTGGTGCTGTTCATTGATTCGAGTAACTTTTTTGACATTTGGGTATAAAGTGTTTTAATTCTACAATACATGGTATAAAAACGTCTGAGTGCTGCCCTCTTCAGGTTGAACGGTGGCTACTGCAGTTGAATTTTCCTATTGGATGTTTGCGGTAGTTCGTGACGGTAGCGGTGAGAGCTGACATAAGCAGGTTTCAGCTCACCACGCCCTTGGTACGAGCTACCACGTCCATGGCAGTATAAAAACCATCTTGTTTTGTCAAAACCACTGTAGCGAGTCAGGAGTTGGAATTGCGAGTATTGAAAACGATCAGGATAGAGTATCCGTTCATCCCCTCTATCTCCGCTGGGCTCCCCTTTAATACATTGTAATCTCTTATTTTGTTCTTCTCTGTTTCCTTTTATCTGTTATCTTATGGTCTTTTATTTTGTATTGTGCAGCACTTCGGTCAGCCATGTTGCTGTCATTAAATGTGCTTAAGAAATGAACTAAACTAAACTGAATTCAAATGTGTTGGATATGATTGAGGTCAGGGATCTGTTATTAAATCAATTAAATCTAACAGATTAAATCAAAATCTGTGTCCCAATACTTTTGTCCATATAGTGCAGGAGTGTCCAATCCCACTCCTGGACGGCCACCATCCTGCAGAGTTTAGCTTTAACCCCAATTAAACACCTGACCCAGCTAATCAAGCTCTTACTAGGCATACTAGGAACTTCCAGGCAGGGGTGTTGAGGTAAACTCTGCAGGACAGTGGCCCTCCAGGACCGAGTTTGGACACCCCTGATATAGTGTATGTATTCATATTTACATGCATGTGTAATTTTTTCCACATATACTTTAATCCACACACCCACAATGTAATACTTTTTAGAGCTAGTGATATTCTCAATCCCATAACCATCACAGAAACCTTTCGGAATCAAACCATTTTTTACTATGTTTCCGTACCTGATTTGAGTTTCCAGCCCAGCTGCAGAGGAAGACTCCACAGAGGACTCTCCTTCTCTCCAGGGCCCATGGAGCTCATGTAGGGATCCGTAGAGTTGATCAGCAGCTTGAACAAAGCCATCCTCTGCAAGTAGTCCCATGGGTTTATCTGGATCACCCCGTCGACTGTGGGCAGCTGGGAGAGCTCGCTTGGGGCTTTCTCCCACAGAATAGGAAGTCCATTCTCAGTCACTACTGCTGCCTGGCTGAGCACAGCCAACACCACTACAGCACAGACCGTTCTGAGGAAATCCATATCTAGTTGAAAATCCAGCTAGAGTGCCTAAGTCCTGCGGTCAGTACAGGGGCTTAAATCTTAGAGCAAACAAAGGACTTTGGTCCCAAATGGAGACAGGACCAAATGAGTGTGTGGGTGGGGATTGATGCATACAAGTTTTAACATGTTCTACACATTTTACATTTTGATGAACACAAACATTTTATGCTCAATCTTCTCAACACTGTACTCTCTCAGAAAATTGGGTTATGTATATGTACATTATTTGGTTATGTATTACATATGTACACTCATTTTATCAAAAAAGATAGCATTGAATTCAACATTTTATCAATGCATTCCCTGTGAATCAAACCCATCCCAGACAGCAACATAGTGTCGGCCCAGATCCGGGCCACATCTGGTACATGTGGATTCCACCAGCACCAGATGTGGGCCGGATCTGCACTGTCTGGGATGGCCCTAATATGTACCCTTACAGGGTAAATACAATACGTCTTTTATGAGAGTTTGTAGAATATTATTATATAATGTAACTGTCATATCTTGTTTACAGGAAAACAAAATCTATGTCTTACATAATGTATTTCTTGAGAGCAGTGAGCAACTTGTGTAAAGTTTAACTTGATGCGATATGGTCATAGTATCATCTAGCATGTTTGGACAGTCAGAGTCACCACGGTTTCATGTCTGTTTCCCCAGGTGTCACTGAGGACAACTAAACATTTATAGGTGCATGTTGTATTGAAAGGTTCTAAAAATAACTTTTGCAACCTTTGCTCTCTTCTGTCTATCGTTAAAACTTGACATTTGGTCAGAACCAATACAAAACATTTTATGTCTGTTGAAAACAAACAACATATCACCTTAGATGACTTAAAGCATTCGTATTTAAATGCACTGAAACACATGAATATATATATATTTTTAATAAATAACCTTTAGAGGTAAAGGCTTTTTGAAAGGTTCTGCACATTGACAATACCTACTGTAGCAGTCAGTTTCTTCCACTAGACACGTGAGCCTGGAAAGAAATTCAAAACCTTGACTTAAGTGCTTCTTTCATGTAGAACCTGTTTCCTGTGTAGTTTGATCCTGTAGATGGGAAAACGTCTCGGTTACGTTTGTAACCCTTGTTCCCTGAAGGAGGGAACGGAGACGTAGTCGACGTGTCGACTGATTGGGAGCACGCTTAGAGAGCCTGTCATCTTCGAGTACTGTTAAAACGAGCCAATGTAATTGGCGTGCGTGAAATGTATTACACACTCAGCCCCCGCGGTGCGGGTATGAATACGGAAGTGGATGCACGCACTAGTTGTTTTTCGCTGAGGAGCCGAGCGTAACTCGGTGTCAGCGGTGGTCCAGCAATAGTATCGACGGGACTACGTCTCCGTTCCCTCCTTCAGGGAACGAGGGTTACAAACATAACCGAGACGTTCCCTTTCAGTCGCTCACGTTCAACGTAGTCGACGTGTCGACTGATTGGGATCCCAATTAAAACGCCATCTAGTGCTGCCACCTTCCAGTCCCTAGACAAAAGCCTCCTGATCTACCCGCAACTGAGGCGGGGATGGAAGGGCTTAGGCAGGGAAGTCACAGCTGTTCCTACAGGACCACTGGGAAAGCGTTCCCTGAACATGGAAGGAAGGGACGCTGCGGAAGCCACATCCTGCCCGAAGGGAGGTAACATGTGGAGAATACACATATGAACTGGGCGGATGACCGGGCAGTACAACATATAGAATGTCACAGGGGTGGCTCCAGTCTATGACTGGGGGGAGACTCTGCCAAGGGAAGACACGGTCTCGCCGCAGGGAGCCGTACCGTGGAAGAATACACATATGGGATCGCCGTAGGGATCACAGCATATGGACCCAGCCTAACACAGGTTCCACCAGTGCATACGAGTGATAGGCCTGGCTTCGGACGTTCCGCCATGTCCGTTGCCGAAGGGTATGGAGGAACTCAACAGGGTTCGGCTAAAAAAGGGGAACTCAACTGGAGCAAGAATTGCGCACGTATCCAGTCCATAGGAGGGGAATGGCGCAACAAGCCGACACAACTAAGCGGGCTTACAGTGAAACTGGCTTCATGTGAAGGGAGCCCGGCAGCGGTTCGACTAAGGTGTTGCCCAGCCCTCAACTCTAGAATATCTGTCAGCGAAGCACTCTGTGTCAACGCCTAAGCGGGAGCACACACTCATTTAAGAGGAGCTCATGTGCATCTCGGGATTTTCACCAAGATGAAGGCAGCCACATTCAGTGGGCCAACTTCGCTTGGAAACAGCCTTCCCTCTCTGCTGATTCCTTAACCCCCTGGGGTCGGCGGTCGCGCCGGTGATACCAGCTCGCTTTTTTTCTTATCAGTGCAAAAGAGACTCAAAATACTCTGTTGATTTTGATCTTACATATAAGTGGGTTACACTTTATTTCGATAGTCACTTTAGACATTCTACTAACTATAAGTAACTTTTCAACTACATGTCAACTAACTGTCATTAGAGTTTAAGTAGGCTGTAGTAAACTGTCAATAGGCTGTTAGGTTATGGTTAGGTGTTAGGGTTCGGGATAGGAGAACAAGTTGACTTGTAGTTGCTAAGTTACTTATAGTCAGTAGAATGTCTGTTGGGGGACCAACAAAATAAAGTGTTAGCGGATATTAAGCAGACAGTCTACTAATACTCTAATGACAGTTAGTTGACATGCAGCTGCAATGTTACTTATAGTTAGTTGAATGTCTAAAGTGGACTATCGAAATAAAGTTTTACCTATAAGTGTTGTACATCATTAGATCCTGTTAAGTGTCAATATTTTTTGTGGATACTCACAATAAAAACAAAGTGTTGTGCTTTTCGCCAAATAAAGAAAAATAAACATGATGCGAGTTCTGCCTTCTCTCTGTCAGTGAAGTCCATTCTGAAACGCGTCCGAAAATGAACTGTAACTCAGTGAATACTCAGTCAAGCAGGAATACAGGCACATAGGCACACAGGCATGAAGCTTGAATTCTCTTCTTTTAAATTAAGTAATTTATATTTAAAAAAAAAGTTTCTGTGATGAAAATCATCAGTTTATGTAATCTGTATGAAAAGAGAGAGATGTCAATCGTTTTCCTTTCAGCTCATTATAGCTCATTGAGTTTTAATGTGACCATGCCCATGGAGAGCGCGCAGTATTTAAACGCAAATAATCTGAGGCAAGCCACGCAAACGTGCCAACCCCCACAACAGCTGGATAAAACACATCAAGTTTAATAAGAATCATTTACTTTACGTCGTCTTGCTACGCTGTGAGGAATAATACTATCGTAATAATCCTGGAAAAGTTACCTCAGAAGTGCTGGTAGTTTCATTTCAAGGAGCACGGATCCAGCTGATGTAGTAAGTTATGTATTCTTAAGTGCTTTGTTCTAATCGCGATATGGTATAGTGTCTGTAAACCGCAAAAAGACTGTTTAAATATGAATCGCATGTCTGTGTGTGTGAATGAATGAATGAACAGCACACACGCGCTCTGTTGTTTACTACAGCTGTACAGCGCTGTGCCGTTCATTCACACTCGCACCTACATTACTAAACCTATGTTATTTTTAAATGAACACATCTGCTAGTTTAGCTTTGACCAAACTATATTGCTATAGCCTACTGAGATGAGTAAAAATAGACTGAAATATGTTGAAATAAAATGTTTTTGTATAAGCAACAAACTGCAAATTAACATTAATATATCATAAACACTATGGGCCCTATTTTAACGATCTGAAACGCAAGTGTCAAAGCGCAAAGCTCAAGTAACTTTGTGGGCGGATCCCGGCGCTGTTGCTATTTTCCCGGCGGGATAAATGCCTCTTGCGCCTGGCGCAAATCTAAAAGGGGCTGGTCTGAAGTAGCTTCATTATTCATAGGTGTGGTTTGGGCGTAATGTGAAATAAACCAATCAGAGCGTCATCTCACATTCCCTTTAAGAGCAGGCGCGCTTGTTCTAAAGCGGATTCCTATTATAACGGCGGATTTGCCAGGCGCGCGCCAGGAGCGGTTCACAGCCGAGGAGAGCAACGTTCTCGTCAGGCCCGTAAAACACAGAGAAGTGACATTGTATGGGGATGGAGAAACCCACCCAAATTAACTTCTGTTAAACAGGCGTATGATAATTTGGGTAAATGTGTAAGCTACATGTATGCTTTTATAATAATTTGTCTATCTATCTATCTATCTATCTATATATCTATCTATCTATCGTAATAATGTATGATTTGCAAAAATGAAAACTGCTGCTTAGATGAGAGAATCAAAGTGTATGCGCGTTGTGCACACGCTACATTGATTATGGCCAAGCATGCGCCCTTAAAATAGCATAATGAACAACGCACAACGCGCCACTGACTTTAGACTAGTTTTTTTCTGGTCAGTGGCGCAATTGTTTTATAGAACAGCAAAATAGCATGAGGGAAAGTTTGCGCCGGAACACGCCTCCTCTTTGCGCTGAACCGCCCCGGGGAGCGCAAGTGTATTTCATAGTTAAGCGACGTGTGTCTGTGGAGGGAAAAGTCCGCTTTGCGCGGGTGCAAAATAGGAATGATACATGCGTCAGTGCACAAAGTCATTTGCGCGGAGTGCAAGATAGGGCCCTATATGTTACAGACTAAATATCAATGTTTAGACAAGATTTAGTTGATTAGTTTTGGATAGATTATAAAGTTTTTACTGTAAAAAAAAAGACTACTGCAACATCAAATAAGCTTTTGTTAGCCAATTTCTGTTCATATGTTAAATATATAGCATGGGATGTTTTGTCAAAAATAAAGTAGGTATATTGAATGATCAACTTAGATGTTATTATAGTGTTTGTTCCAATATTCAAACTAATGAATTACCTTTGAAATATGTATGACAAAATATATACTTTTTACAAAGAAAGATTACACTTGAAATATTAGTAAAATTGTAATTGTTGTTGTAACTTATTTTTAGTTTTTTATTAGTGACGAATTTGGGGAGAGGATACATATTCCAAACCTTTTTGAAAATACAGTATGAGAATTAACTGCACAATTACTA